CGAGCGTGGCTTAATACCAATTTATGCTACGAAAGCAAAGAAAAACGAGGGAAAATACCACAGACGCAAGTTTCCATATATTTATCTCCCCAAGAGTTCCCACGAACCCCGTCGTCGTCGTCGGTGGGGCAGGAGCCACGTGGCTGAAGAACAGGGGAGCGAGGGAGGGAGCTGTCGCTGGGCACCTTTGCGTCTCTTTGGAATGACAAGTTGTGACTTTGTTATCTACCCCAAAATTACAAATGAGAAAACAAAGCAGTGAGGTGAGGAGGCCTTCCTGCAGGAGGAGGTAGGACCGGGGTGAGTTGCAAAGGCAGGGGCGTAACGTTGGGGCGCGCCGAGAGGGTTCAGGAGGGAGGGGCTCAGCGGTTAGGGGCATGGCGTCAGGAGCCCGCCGTGCCCAGGGACATTTCCCACCTGGAGCCCAGGGACGTCCTGGCCATGACCTGATGCCAGGAGCATGGATGGGGCCCCCTGCCTCTCCCAGACGGGTGCACCGCCTCTTTCCCGTCTGTAACCCTCTGGTCCAGGGGACTCTGACCCTGACCCACCTAACAGGCCAAATGACCCATTATCCTAAAGCTGACCCTGGTGCATTCTGCCTTCTCTCCCTGCAGGGCTCTCAGTAGAGCTGCTGGGTGAGCCCGGGCAAACCACGAATGAGGGAGGTATCCCAAGATCTCCAGACGGCACGCGAGGCTTGAGGTCTGCTGAGACACCTGCTGGGTGTCTGGGCAATGGACGCACACGAACAACAGGTTTCCCACAATACCTTGGGGGCGGGCAGCAGCAGCACCCCCACCTTCCAGAAAAGAAAACAGTGATTTACTTAAGCTAAAGAATTCTCCAGGGGTGCTATGGACTGAATGCCTGTGTCTCCCTGCGAGTTCCTACGTTGAAGCCCTGACCCCTCAATGTAGACGGCCCTTTGGGAGATGATCGGGTTTATGTGAGGTCACGAGGGTGGGACCCCTAGGATGCAATTAGCATCCTCATAAAAGAGAGAAAGATCTCGCTTGCCGAGGAAGGGCCGCGTGAGGACACAGGGAGAAGGCGGCCATCTGTAA